GGAGACCTCGCCGACGACGCACGTCTTGACCGTCGACCAAGCGGACCGCAAAGTGGGCAGCATCGGCACGTTATTGCCGAATCTCGAGGCGCGCTTGGTGGACGACGACGAGGGCAAGGTCGACGCGGCGGAGGGGCAGCCCGGCGAGCTGTGGATACGCGGAAAAACCGTGATGAAGGTAATTGACGGGGTCTTGCTCGGCGTTTTCAAACTGGTATACTAATAATGAATGATCCGCCAGGGATACCTGAACAACCCGACGGCGACCAAAAACTCCATCACACCGGATGGTTGGTTCAAGACCGGGGATGTGGCGATCCGGGACAAGGAGGGGTACTATTATATTGTCGGTGAGTAGAACAGAACCTCTCGATTGTGTCACGCTAAAATTTGTGGTCTTTCAGATAGACGCAAGGAGCTTATTAAATACAAGGTAAGGGTTTCACGACGTATAGTTCCTCTCTCTCTAATTATTTAAACAACAGGGATTCCAAGGTACGGCCCTGGAAGTCGTGGATCGATCGTGCGCGAGGTTGACGTTGATTCTTTTATTTCAGTGCCTCCCGCGGAACTCGAGTCCGTGCTGTTGACGCACCCCGACATCGCGGACGTGGCGGTCATCGGATTAGAAAGCGTCAAGGAAGCTACTGAGTTGCCTAGGTGCGTTTGCTATTCACTATTCGCCTCTATAGCTATGCTCTCTTGATCCACACTGATCGTTTTCGCAGAGCGTATGTTGTCCACGCGCATCCGGAGAAGGTCAACACCGCCGCGGCCAAGGCCGCGTTTGCGAGCAGCGTCGCAAAATGGATGCAGACCAAGGTCGCGCGACACAAATTCCTGCGAGGCGGTGTGGGTGTGATCGATGTTATCCCGAAGAGGTGGGTTTTTCGCGGCTCTATTTTGTGGCTTACGCAGAGCACTTGCTTTTTTTGCATTTTACACACTCAACTAATACATTTGCAGTGCCGCTGGCAAGATTCTGCGACGCGATCTGCGGGAGCTGGCGAAACAGCAGGTTGCGCGGGGAGATTTGGGATTGGATGTCAAGGCGAGACTTTAAATTTTTAACGTGGCGCGGATTTTTTTATTACTCGATTATTCGATCGACATCATGCTACACTCGCTACAATAGACGGCAACCTTTCTCGTGTACAGTATCCTGAAAATGTTTGTTAGCGTCAAAATGTATGCATGAAAACAAGAGCAGGTAGAGTCAGAAGTGTCAAAATTTTGGAGCACACCCCACGAGGGTATTCATCCATGAAGAAATTCAAAAAGATCCAACGCATCATAAACAAAATGAGGAAGGAAGCTCACCTGAGGCAAAACCCAAACCCAAGGACATCTGACGAAGAACAACAAAGTTCGAGGGGAGAAAAAAATTAGGGAACCGCGCCGAATGAGAGTGAGCCCCATTGAGTTGAGGACCCTAGAAGGGTCAACAATCGTATAACTGTGTCTATGAGCAACACATTGCCAGACGTTGGACAAACCACCCGAGCAACAGGATGCTCGTATCTTCGCAGCCTGCGCCTTCGCCGAGTAGCCTACCCGCAGTCGGGCAACGGAGTGGCAGAGACAGAGCAACGACCTGGCAATTGCAGACCGTGCAAAAAAATCCCGCCGTCCTCGCCCTGACCGACGTGCTTGGGCCGGTTGCTTTCCATTGGAGGACGAGGACATGCTCCGTGTCTCCGGGGACTTTCCCCACAGCAGAAATTGAGAGTAAACTCTCTGTGCGGAAGCTGCGACAACGATTCTTCAGACGGCGCGGAGGTAAAGTCCAACTGGAAAATTTTGACCTTATATAGGTTCAGCATAGCCACAAGCTTGGTCCTGTTTGGCTCCGCAACCCCATTCGGATCTTCACAGACGCGTTCATGTCGACCGGGCGGAAAGCACAGTCCACCACACAACCGACCCACAGGACGGCAGGTTATGCTCACGTTACCCAAAAGCTCGCCCTAACTGTTCCGCAGGTTTTATTCGCGAGCATCCCCACCATCAAGGTTATTGAGCCGCCGAAAGGACGCTTCTCCACCGCCAACGACCAGTGGTGTATAACCTACTGCTCACAAAACATCAGCGGTCGCATTCACGGCAAACCTCCATGGTGTCGATCCCTCTGCATTCGCAAGGTCTTTTCGCACGAAGTCCGCAATATCCTGCAGTTCCAGAGTCACAGAGACATCGGTCCCGACGGAAAGGCGCGATACCCCCTCCCTGCAGAGGGCCAGCCCATCCATCTGCCACGGTACCTCGGTGGGAAGCCCATCGATGACCCTGAATACGGTAGAAAGGCGCCCGAGGACACCAAATACTGGGACGAGGGGTGGTATTTCTGGAAGACCACCAGCTTCCTCGGCGTATTCGGCAGCATAAACCACATGCAGTACAACCTCGACCAGCAGACCCGGATCGAGAAGATAAAACAAGAGAACCGAAAGCGCTGGCTGGAGTACCAGGAATTCCTCCAGTCGGGCGAGCCACGGACAGAGGAGAATAAATGGCTGGGACACGTCGTTCCTCCTAATCACGGGCCAGATCCAGCGTAAGTTGGAACGATGTTTGTGCATCCTTCAAGTGCTTATTGTTTCTTTCCAGTCCGGACTCGCTTTTGTGCCTCTGCCCCTCGAGTCTGGTCCACTGCTGCAGCCTATATACCAAGTCTTGGCCCCCGCCAAGCTTTCTTTGCAGTTATTCCGCGATAACCTCGCCGAGGGGAATTACCAGAAGTTTGCGCTCCGAGTTTGGGACAAGGCGCAGACCGCCGAGCCATTCACTCTTGCCAGCCGTGCTTGCAGTTTTGGCTACGACCAATTTTTCAACAAGGACAAGGGGTCGATGACGACGACAAGGAGAAGGAGTCGTAGGTTCATCGCGGCCCGAACTCCTTTAAACTGTATTACCCGACATTCATTGTAACCGCACAACACAACCTACCATACCTCGCATTAGACCATGCACCCCCGGATGTAATTAAACAATGACCCCTTGCTTATTAATTCGACCATTGCGCGACCGACCAAAGTCGGATTATTTCGTGGAGAACTTTGCTGGAACACTCGAGTAGGTCTGTCAACGTGACTTCATACAGCTTTGTCAGTCACCACCTCGCGTCTTATAATGCCACACTTTCACTCCGTCTGCTCTCATCTGCCTTCTCCTCTCCCGTCTCGTTGTTTTGCCAGACTTCCTGCCGCACCTCTCCGGCTGCTTATCTACCATAGGCAGATACAGCAATAAGAAATTCAGTTCAGTTCAGATCCCAAGAGCTTTGAAACGGTCCTCCCAAGGCCCTCCCGATAATGGCAGAAAAGAAGAACTCTCCAATCGAGATTCAAAATGTGAAAGAGTGGAACACGAATTTACGTGGCGCCACCCAAGCTGGGATGACCGTCTTGGTTAGTCTCGTTACTCCGACTTTGCTACACACATTCAGAATACAGTCGTCTGAAGGTCGATTTCCATGCGCAATGGTGTCAGCCTTGCAAGGTATGCATCCTGATTCCAGGAGATATTGAGTCCTGAATGAAAATATTATGGTAGGCCATAGCCCCTCGGTTCAGCCAGCTAGCGGCCCAGAATCCCCATATCCGCTTTCTGCGCGTCGATGTGGACGCTCAAAAGGCGATTGCGGAGAAATACCAAGTTACAGCTATGCCTACGTTTTATGCGATTAAAGCTGGGAAGCCCGTCGATATGGTCAGTCGTCTCCGATTGATTCTATTCAGACTAAATTGTCGGGCGCATATGTAGATACGAGGAGCTGATCCCCAGGGTCTTGCGCGCTTGGTACTCCAACACGGGGGCCCAAATCCGCCTGTGCCTCCACTCCCCGAGGCGGCGGAGGCCGCGAAGGCTGCTGGGAACGTGGGTTTCTCTTCCTCTCTAATTTCAAGCCCATGTTCATTCATTCTTCCTTGTTCACAGGCTTTTTACAAAGACGGAAACTACCCCGAGGCCATCGAACAATACAGCGCAGCAATCATTATCGCTCCCAATTCCGGCGCGCTATACGGCAACCGCTCCATCGCGTATCTCAAGTCCTCGCCTCCAGACCTCGATCTGGCACTGGCCGACGCACAGAAGGCGACTGAGGTCGACCCGAAGTGGGGAAAGGGGTTTGTCCGACTCGGGGAGGCGTTACAGGCACAGGAGGAAGATGAGAAGGCCGCGAAGGCATTCGAGACGGCTGTAGAGCTCTCGCAGGGCCTTGCTAAGACGGAGGCGAAGCAGAAGTTGGAAGCAGTGAAGAAGAGGCTTGGCTGGCATTAGATTTCTGACTCGCCCTATGTATCCCCAGATTTGATGTAGCTGATAATCGCAAACGCGAAATCAAGTACACACTTGAGTTGATGTGAAAGTGATCTTTCAACCACACTGACAATACCCAAATTTTGGTTTACTCGGGATGAAACTCAGAATGTGTTGAATTTCAGGCTGGCCGAAATTCAAGTTGATTCTTGTAGTTTAGGGTGGTCCAAACTGTACCTTGAACAAATAGAATAAGATGCACACCAAAAGTCATTTGAAATCCAAAGTTTCAGAACCTACCTCAGGTCAACGGAAACTCATAACCTGAACTGTTAGTTTCAGCATTAGAAACAGTTCCTCCGAAATTCTGCATATCAGTTAAGCTGAAATCAGACCTAAAAACATTGAGTTTCAGATCTCATTTCAGTCCACCTGAAAGCCAGGATTTTAGCCAGGGTCACAGCCAATTTGACTGAAATCCCAAGTTTTGGATGAACTCGTGTGAAAGCCAAAACTTGAAGTTTTTGGTTTCAGTTTCAGAGCACCACCTCTGCGGAAACCAGGAAGTTCGCAGAAACTCAGAGTTTCATACCAGAGCATTCCCACTATGAATTACTGAATTTCAGGTCAACAGAGAAATGTTCTGGCAGGGCCTTCCAGTCTTCCTCATGATGAAAATGCTCGGGGAAAAAATGAGGCACAACAATTAAAACAAAAAGAATAACAAGTGCCATTGTTTATGACGACAGTGGGGTTCGAACCCACGCCCTTTCGGACTGGATGGTTGGTAATTCCTAATTCCAGCGCCTTAGACCACTCGGCCATGTCGCCCATGTCCTCCACTCCACGCCGTTCCATAATGGTGCTCACCAAGGGATTTAGCTATTCTCGATACTAGCCTCGACATCCTGCACCTCATCAAAGTCTCGGTCAAGGAGGTTCTCGGCTGTCCCAAGAACGCGACCCTCTTGCGGATGAGCTCCCCGACCTGAAGCTCGAGTTGGTCGCCGACCTTTTCGTGTATCGGAAGGTAGATGCAATGGACCAAGGATCGTGGGAGGCAACATTGTCTGTTGATGCCTCGCTGCCCCTAGTCTCGAGGTGTCCGCCGACCATATGGCTGACCACCGCACTCGACCGGGGAAAGGCTTGGGCTCACAGAGGCACTGTTAACCAATGGGAAGCCGGTGACAATTGTCAGTGTCTTGTGATTCACGTGCGATGCAGTAAATAATGAATTATTTATAGGTCACTTCGTCAAATGTGCGTTTGGCTATGTTGGTGTGTTGTGCCCCCTCGATAACAATGCTTTCATCCATTCCTGCAAACGATCTATCGACGAGGCCACACGACTAAAGATACCTCATGAATGACTGCAGAAAAAGCTTAACGGCCCAAAGGACTGTAACATTGACACCCCGATTTCAAAGCACTTGATTTTGTCGCGATTCAACCTTCCCCCGGACTATCTTCGGTCGCTCTGGTTCCTCATGCGTGTCTTCCCGTTGTCATCCTCCAAAAGTGTTTGGAGAAATATAAGGAAGGGAGTCGAATTTAGAAACGTGAAGGAATGATGGGAAAACAGGCAAGCCCAGACTCGGTCTAGACCATGGCCTGGCACAGCAGTTGAATGAGTCATACTAATCATCTGAGTCACCCTGACTCACTCGGGGTGACTCACTTAGAAACATGACTCACCCGAGATTCCTACCAGTTAGAATATGACTCAAACAAGATACTTACCACTGTGTATAAAAGCCCTCCTGTAGTAGCTAGATAAATAACGAAAAAGCACCCATCACAAAGACACGCCCCCAACGAATGAACACACACCCCGCACAAGTAACAGAAAGTTGTTATTAGTGCACCCCTACGAACGAAACGAACACCACATACTTTTAACAGAGAGTTATTAGTACACCCCTACGAACGAAACGAACACCACGTACTTATAACAGAGAGTTGTTATTAAGTGCACCCCTACAAACGACACGAACGCCACGCCCTTATAACAGAGAGTTGTTATTAAGCGCACCCCCCCCCCCCCCTACGAACAAAACAAACACCTACAAACGACCTTACGCCAAACGAACGAACGAACGCTACGCCTACAAAACGAACACCCTACGACATACGCAACAAACAACTTACACCTTACCATTAAAAACACAACCTTTGCCGATCTCATCAGATCTCTGCCAACCACAACCTTCCGCCACCGTACTTTTTACGTACACTCCTTCTTCACAATCTAAGAAGAAACTCTTCCTTTTCAACTTCACACCATTTTCCCGAACTATTGAGAATCTCCCGATTGAAGTCATTTTCGGAGCACCTCGAGTATAACAAATTATACACCTGACATCATTGGAGCCCACCGCGAGGGGAAACACAGTGAAGTTAACACCATCAACTACCACCAAACACTACACAACACAAAACATGCACAACTACGCAGCTCCGAATTTTGTAAACCCACCCTATGAGCACGGGCAGTCAATGCCGTACCTATCTGCAGAAGGATATGATATGCATGACCCCGACATTACGCCACCACAGACTTGGTCACAAGCTTCCATGTCTGCAGGACCACATGTATCATTTGCACCACACCAACAGGAGCCAAACCTGTTTGGATATACAGAAGGACTTAAGGCTTCGACATCAAAAGCTGCAGGAAAACAACCGCAATCTTCTCTGTTGACAGAAGTTGAGTCAGAAATGGAAGGACGTCCAGAAGACCCTCGGATCAGTACCCCGCAAACTTCCCCAGACTTCCCCAGAACCTGTCAAAAGAATGAAAGGATCTGCTCCACAAGCTTTTGGGGCACCAGTCCGATCCGCTCTTGACATGCCTCTACGCAATACTCGGGATGCGTCTAAAATGTTCAAGGGAAAACATGCAGAAGTAGAATATTTCATACATCATTATGATCAACTCCTCGTAAAGAACCGAGTGGACGACCCAGATGATAGATGTGAATATATTCTTGATTACTGTTCCACCGATGTTCAAGCCTTCATCCGGGCATCGGAACACTACCACAACAAAGACTGGACCTGACTGCAACGAGAGATTCTCAAGTGTTATGATGCGGACCGAGCCATTGCACGCTACCGCCCGGGAGACATTACCGCCTACACTATGAAATCCAAAAATAAGCCAATACACAACTTGACGCAGTGGAAAAAGTATTATATCAAGTATAAGACTATGGCGGGAACGTTGCTGCAGCAGGGACACATCACAAAAGTCAATGCCGATGTATACTTCTGGCTTGGAATGCATAAAGATTTGAGAAGAGTATTCGAGGCTCAAATCTTGTTACATTCCCCTAAAAGAAACAGCAAGAATCCTTACACCATGCGAGAAATCAATGAGGCAGCCGAATGGCACTTCAGACGAAATCGCTCAGAGACCATGGTGGTCAATGCAGGGGATTACAACATTGAAGATGACGGAGGATACTATGAAGTGTCATCTGAAAATGAAGACTCAGATGAGGACTTGGAGGACTCCAATTATGAATCTTACCATCGACGAAGGAGAGAAAAGAGAAAGAGTCGCAAGGAAAAGGAAAAGCAGAAGGCTGCGCGAGTTGAGAAATCAAGTCCTGAGCCAACAATTAAAACCGAAGGAACAGCCTCTGAAGTTGCGGATCTAATTCGGAAACTTAACAAGATGACGATTGAAGATGTGGAATATGCACCAACTTATTATTCCATTATTGCGCTTGACAAAACAGGATACGCTGTCAACTGCATTAACCCACCTAAAGTTCAGATGGGTTGGAAGAATACCAGCGGACAGACACGGGGACCTCCCCCACGCAATAACCCCCGGACCTCATTTTCTGCAACAACACCCGCTACTTATCCGAACACTATCCCGTTGGGAGAAAGACCTGAAACACCAGCACTGCCAGAAAATAATGCATGCTACGGGTGTGGACAGCAAGGCCACATAGCGGTGGAATGCCCCGAAATTCAAGAACTCCAGCGGACGGGAGTGGTTCGAGTTGATGAAGAAACACGACGAATCAAAATGAGCAACGGGACTTTCATCAAACGTGCCCCTGGAGAGAATATTGTGCAGCCAGCAAAAAGACAAGCTACCCCACGAGTCATGCTGGGCATGATAGATTTGCAATTCTCAGGGGCATATTATGAAGCCAGTACAGAAACGAGTCCTCATAATGAACCACAAAATAGATTCGTTGAAGGACATGGGTACAGCAGCTCTGTAACTACTCCAGGAGAAGATACAGAGTCAGACTACAACTATGTCTTAAGGCAAGATTCAGACGGTGAAGACCCGGAGCTTGGGGAGGTATACCTCTCAATTCCAAAGAAATGGTGGCCTGAGAAACAAGTTAATGGAGTGGAACGAACAGTTCCCAGTACACGCACCGTGCGCCGCTTGGCATTTGATGGCATTCATGTTCCCCGACGAGATGCGCCGATAAGCGAGGCACCCAACAAGTTCGAACCTTCAAAGAAAGCGCAAGCGCCTGGAGAAAAATCTGTGGCAGGAAAAATCCGAGAGATTTTGACTGACGTCCAACCCTATGATGTGCGGAGAGCTAGGTTTACAGAAGATCTAGACAGGGACACGCCAGACTCACCTACCAAGCCACCTTGTGAGTCGCTGGTAAAATCTGTAACCCAGAAAGAGCCCATAAGTCAAGCGGATGCTTGGGGAAAGGAATACGAACGCAAGGAGCTTGCTGAGAAGGAAAATTCATGTGGGGAGCTGAAACCTAGTGGCCGTCAGTCAGAAATTCAATCCATGGTGAGTCTGCCTACCATCGTGGAAAGAATCTTGAATCTCGAAGTACCCATGACCGTGTGGGAGGCTCTGGCAGTATCAAAAGAAATCCAGAATGGCCTACAAGAAACTGTAAGGTTAAAGAATGTTAATGTTAGGGTACCCCGTACCCGGTATACCCGGACACCGCTTACTCAATACTATGACCAACCGGGCCCTTACTAGTTACCATCTTTGTTACCATCTTCTCATCAATTCTTGTAGTATATAGCTGTGTGATGGCAGAACGATGGGACAACTAAGCTTGCCCCACTGAACTGCCTCACTTTCTCAATTAACAGAACTCGATGGGACAACTAAGCTTGCCCCACCGAACTGCCTCACTTTCTCAATTAACAGAACTTGTGTCGGTTTACCGGGTCTCCACGCTAAGTTCCAACCCAACACCTTAATACTTTTTTAAACCTCATTGGCTTCAACCGAAGCACATCTGTCTAAACAAAAACACAGTGTTATACGACAAGAAGGGTAGAGCATATGGCGACTACCCCGGGGATCAGCTCACCAGCGGACACCAACACCAACTGGCGCGCTTCACCCCCACACATGTCGGGGTCCACTAGACCCTCAACCCCATTCGTATCTGCACTGGCGCAGCAACCCGACGTCGATCCGCAGCATCCAGATGCACGATCGGACTCGCCCGCTGCCAGCGCAACCTCTCAGGGAGGATTGCCCCATTGCGAGGATAATCCATCCCCAATCCCAACCGGCTCACCCGCTCCCAGGACGGCCTCCCCTCTTGCCCCAACAGGATTGACGGCGAGACTGGTGACCGATCCCGTCACTGGTGAGCGCTTCTTCATGGAGGAGTTGACTCAATTCCGCATCAACATTATTGCGAGCAGTGGTCACACCTCCCCTAGGGACGTGGCAGCTAGCAGCTTGCCCACGATCTCTGATGAATCCGACGTCCCATTTACCGGCGGAAGCGAGTCTCAGCAACACGGCCCCACCTCGCATGACCGCCTCGCCAACCTGGCCGCCAACCTGAGCCCCAACC